CCCTAGGAGGCAGGAGTTGTGTTAGGAGAGCGAGTGAGAGGTGAAGCTGTTGTTTCCTAGTGTGGGTGGTAGGATTTTGTGGTGTTTATTGAAAAGAGAAGTAAACTAAAAATCGTGTAAGAATAGATGGTGATGTGAATTCAGAGGAAGAAAAAAACCCTGAGCTTCCATACATGGGATATGACAAAGTTCCTTCCCTAAGTTTTTCATGAACAGAAAGGTTTGTTTCAGTTATAGTTTAACACACATAAATTCATCTACAGAAAAAAATATAATTGTGCTTCTATTTTAAAGGAATAGATGATAGAAGCAGAATTATGAGACACTGACAGACTCTTTAAAAGCCAAAAGAACAGCAGAGGAGAGCAAGGCCCGAGGCAAAGCTACTAGAGCAGCCACTTGCCACAGGTTGGGAGAGAATTCTACCTTTTCAGCAGACAGCTGGAGGGACTGGATGGGCTCAGGAGAGCCAAAGAGCTGCAGCTCTTCCACGATGAACGTCTCCCCGTCGCAGTGGAAAGCTTTATGCAAATACCCAGCATCTGCAGCAAAGGAAATGTATTTCTAAAGATAAAACTTGTTTAAACAGAGCAAAACTGTTTAGTCTGATAATTCACATTGAAATGAGATAGAGCTTTAGAAGACAGTCCTAGGCACAGGGAATATTTGAGATTCTTCAAAGCAATTCTTATTTTTTCTCTCAATAAGAGAGAAGCAATGATTATTTTTCAAGGAGGAAAAAAAAAGACCTCAAACAATCCCTGAATTTGCAAATATCATTATGTCAAGTCTCCTTTGATCTGGAAAGTTTCTAAAGAGAGGCTTTTAATGTCCAACAAGGCAAACACATTTACTCAAACTGGGATGAAAATGTTAAACTAGCAAGACAGCTTCTGAATGCAAAACTTCAAACAGAACTGATGAACAATTCTGCTGGTTTGAAGTCTTGGGGAAAAAAAAAAAAACCAACAAAACAATTCTGGAATAAAAGGCATAAAAATGTATAGTATCTTTTCCTAAAATAAAAGCACTTACCTGTTCCTAGAAACATCACATCATACGTTTGTTTATCCAGCCCAGTGACTCTGTCCACGACAATCTTGGTGTAGTTGGAACCTCTCTTCAGCAGCAGGGGTCTGTTGCCCATTGGATTCACAGAATTATCCATCAGAGGGTGATCTCTAACAAACTGCAAAACTTTGTCAGGCAAGTCAGATGAAGTGTTATACCCCAAACTCCGGGCAAAATTATCAATGCACTAGAAACAAGAGCACAACAGACATGATTACCATTCCTTTCACCAAATAGATGGCAGAAGGTGTATTTCTTTCTAAACATTCAGTTATTTCTACTTATCTTCAAAAGAGAAAAATCATTATTCCCCTCACACTTTATGAACTGGCAGATAACCCCAGAAGTGAAAGCAAGGCAGCTTTTCTAGGAACCTCCCTGTGATGGAAGGAGAAAGGAGCTATCTGTGCTGTCTATAAACACTGTATTTACAGGGGGAAAACATAAACTCATGGTTTACTACCAAAAAAAGCTAATCCAGAAGCTGTTCTTTAGTTAGAACAAGTAAAATCCATATTTACAGCACCAGGACGTGGAACTGGCACCTCTCCCCTGTACACCATCCACTTCACAGGGAAATGTCCCACAGTTACTGGTCCTTTGTAGCTTCCTTTGGAGAAGACTTCCTGAATATCTTTCATGCTGTATGCACAAACAGCTGAGATCTCTAATCTTCCCCTTAGAAGAAAAAAAAAAACAACACAACAAAACCACACAGAAAATAAAAGCAGTTTTATTGGCTTTTCTGTTGAAATAAATACTGTCCAATAACCTGATTTCCACAGTGCACACTGCTGGACCTTTTTCAGGATTAGTCAAAAGATACCTAACACTAAAAATACTTCCCTGTTGTGGTTCTCATGATTCACTAAGAAGAGAATAAAACAAAGAAATTTATAAAAGATGGTATTAAGTATGTTTTTGTTAAAAATCAAGTAACCACCCTCAAATATATTGAAGCAACTTAAGAGCATAAGGCCCTTTCTACAACCTTTTTTTGTTGTGAACACAGAGATGAGCCCCAGTGTTATGATAATCAGCATTTTGCAACATTTTGACAGGCTTCTCCTCCTTTTGTCTCCACATTTCTGGCACAGACCACGAATTTTTCTTCTAATCCCTTTTAACTCCTCTTACCAAACCCCACAATTCTCTTTCTCTTTGCCTCCAACTGTAATGCTTTTCAAACTGATGACTGAAAACCCAGGGAGACTTTTAGAAGTGCCAGTCTGACACTGATGTGATCTCAGTCCTACCAAGTCTCAGCCTCTTCACCACACCCAAAGGAATAAAAAATTCTACAAATTCCTGTCTGAGGACACATTGAACCCAACCCAACCTGCCACGAGGAGAAATAAAACTCACACAAGCCTCAGTGGGTATGAACTGACAGGGAAATAGGTGGCAGCAGGTTAAGCTGCACAGTGCTGACTGTGCCACATTCTGGCAGTTCTGATGCTTTTATAAAACAGGAGAATTACCTACTCGTGGCTGCTTTGTCATTGGTATTTTAGACATGTGAAGTTTTGATACACTCTGTCTTGTTTTTCTTCATTAGTCAGAGCACTAAGAAAAACCCAGTTAAGCCTGAAATTTGTACAGTATTTGTTTGGAGTTCTGTTTTCATTTTCCCAGAACATTATAGCAGACAAGCAGGCCTTGACAGATACTTCTCTTGGAGCAGGAGTGTAATTCTGCACCTCAGAATGTCAGCCCTGTCCTTTAGTGTGATAAAGGCCAGCAGAATCCAGAGCATTGTGTATGCAATAATGTAATTTTACACAGAATTAGTTTTAATTGCCCTGCTATCTGACTAAAGAAAACATAACTCTAAAAACTTGGCTTAGGAGAAGCTTTTGGTTACTCTTTAATTGAAGGCTTTGGCCCAGGAACCAAAAACATTTTGTTTCAGATGATAAGGTTTGCTCAGTTGGATCAAGCTGTGAGGAAAACAAACGTGGTTGATTAAAACATGCAGCATCAGTAGCTGGTAGCTTGTTCTGGGTTAAAGCCAAAAGGCTGTGCTCAGGCTGCTCCTGAAGGGAGAACCCTCACTCAGCCTTCACAAGCTTGAGTAGCACTCGTAGCCTCAATCTCACCATTGCTGGGAGAAAATCCCATAAAATATGCTGTCCTGCCACTTTCTTCTCCTCAGGAAAAAGATGTCCTGGACAATATTGAAGTGGAAGCTGAGCTCTGGAAGGGAGCAGGAGAGGCGGGACTTTAGGAACGATGTCCATCTCCTCTGCAGGAGGCGTTTCCCACCAACATCACCCTGAGGGAAGGAGTGACAACGCTGCAGAAGGCACGAATAAAACCAGGGGGTTTAACCTAACAGCACCAACAGGCAGGAAAATAGAGCTGGCCTTTCAATACAAATCTCAGTTCTAAGGCAATGAATAAAAGGTTTAAATGTCGAATGCAGTCTGAACAGCTGGCTCTGTTCTAGCAGGAGGAAGAGGAAGCTGGTTCAGAAATAAAATGTATAGACAGAATTTTTTTTGGTAACCAGTGTAGGTATCATTCTTAACCACTCCACTGTGAAACTTCACCTGAGAGACACTAAACCAAATCTTTCTGCTACAAACACCAACCCTGCAGATACGGGCGATTCTGGACACCAGGGGCTTGTCATAGAATTCAAATTCAACAGCTGTTTCAGTGAAGAACACATAAATTTTATCATCATCTCCACGTGGATTAGATTCACTTTCGTGCACTATTTCCATGTTGACAAAGCTTGGTTCTGAAACACAAAAAATACACACAAGAATTTGAAGTTTATTGCAAGAAGAGCATAAATGCCAGATGTTATTTTAAAATCAAGTTTAATGACTTTTTTGTAGACTAGTGGACAAGGAAAGGGCTGAAAAGTTATTTATTAATCTATCAGGCATTAAGAGAAGGAACTGAACATTCTAGAGAGAATTCACACACCAAATGAAACTTGAAGAGACTGAAATATTAAAAAATCCTTTCTTACCATTTAGCCACCAGGTTGTGAACTCTGTTCTCACAGGATTTCTCATGCTGCGAAGTATTATAGGTTCTGTTCCCAAGAAATTATTTGAAGTAGCTGAATAAAATTCCCCATCTGGAAAGATTTGGAAGAAACAAACAAACAAAAAAGTATAAAGTGCTTATTTTTAAAATGCAAAGATGTATCCTAAGGAACAAATTGAGGCTGAGGTGTAAAAATAGAATTAAGGTAGCTAATAACTTAGAGGTGGAAAATCATTTCAGGTTGCACATCAGTCCAAACATACCAACAAAAACAGAGGCATACTTCAGAGTGGGTTCAAAGGGACACTTCCCTCTGCTCTCTTCAGCTCTTCCCTGCAAGCTCAGGTTTGTCCCGTGGATAATCTATGGCAAAGAACCATTTAAATAGAAAGGAAAATTGAGAAGTAGTTTTCTGCCCTTTGATATTTTTATTCTGTGCAATGGCTCAGGTATAACCTGCCTTCAGCCACTGTTACCATGTGGTCACAGGCTGGGTGATAGGCGTTGGTTCCACAAACATACAAGTCAGAGTCATTTATCTTGTGGATGAAGAGGATGTAGTTCTGGCACCTCATCTAAAACAGAAAATAAAAATACCAGTTACATAGATAGCACAGTGCACTGCAGCTGAAAATCTCCTGGCATTTAGCAGCAAGAAAACAAACCCAAGAGATTTAAATGAACTTGTTTTATTTTGTTTATTAAAATGAAGCTTGATACTGTAGCCACTTTTATTTTAGTTAATAACTTGGAGGGAGAAACAGAAGTTCCTACCTTGTCCTTCCCTCTGTGAATACAATCCTGTTGTCTTTCTTCTGTAGCAAACCAGTATTCCTAAAAGCCAAAAATACTTCTAAGGTGGTATGTTGCAGTATTTTTTTTTCCCCCCTCAAAATTATGTATTAAAAAAAAATGCTTAAATAAACCTAACTTTGAACCTACTGGGTAAATAGGCATTTTTTTTCTATGTATCTCCATAGCATACAAGGCATAATGAGTAACCTGAAGAGAAGTATTGCTTTGCTTAAAGAAAAAAGACTGTGATAGTTTCAAGGCTCGAAATAGCAACATTTTTATCTATTTAAAATCAGAATATTATGTGCAAATTAAGAAAACCACAAGCAGAGTACTTTTTTTTCAAGAAGGTATGAGGGAAAAGTCTTTAATTTACCCTGGCTACTTCTCTAGAAATATTATTCAAGTCAAGAGCAAATACTGTGTCTCTGCCTCCAACAAATAAGGTATTGGTTTCTTCATTCACAAGAAGGGTGGAAACATTGGACAATCCTTCTGTCATAAAAGTGTTTACATTTCCATCTGCAAAACACAAAAGACAAGTTATTTAAAAACATTTATCACCAGAATCACAGTGTCATGTAATAAAAAAATCCAGACTGAAAACAAATTGTAACAGATCAAAGCTAAAAGCTCACACACATTTCCAGGATGTTTCCTAAATAGTATGAAAGTATTTGAATAAACGCATGGATTTTCTTTTCCCAATTTATTACAGGAAAATAAACAACACTGTTATTATTACTGTCTAGAAGGCAGAACCTCCAGCTACAGCAATTACTGCTCAGGCATTCCTCACTGTCATTCGGATGAGTGCACCCACAACACTCGAGGTGCAACAGTCCAGAGCAGCCTTTCTGTGCCTAATAAAAAATAAACCCCCCAACACCTTGCTAGGTTTTGTTCTGCTTGTGAAATTACCATTTTCCACTTACTTGGGTATTTTACTGTTTTTCTGGGAATGCAGTTCCCAAGAGATGCTTTTGTCCCTTGTATTAATGGTAAAATCAGATAAAGGGCAATGGCAGTGCTCCCCATTTTCAGAGATTCAGCTAGAAATAAGTTCTTTCCAATTTTAATTCTTGGTCATTATACAACTACAGGCAGCAATTTCTTCATGGCTCTTCAAAATGTCCTGTGGAAGCCTTCCAAAGTACGTGTAGTCTTCAGATATTCTCTGAAACTTATCAAAACCTCTTACATTTCCCATTCAGATATCTACTTCCAGACGTCCTAAAATGAAAAGCAGTTTAAGTTCACTGTAATATTTGGTTGCTTTCATTTTTCAGGAGATGGAGACCCATGTCCTTTAACAACATTTTGTTGCTATTCCTTATATTTACACTAATCAGGAGTAGACACTACTCTGATGGCAATTCCAGGCTATTATTATTAGCTTCACATCAAGTCTGTGATTCTCATTTGCAAGCTGTGATGTTTCAGATTTTCTGCAGGGGATCCAAGTATTATTTCACAAACAGTAAGAACAAGAGGGAATGTTTTGCAGCAGTCAGCTATTTTAAGTATTTAAGCAAAGTCATAGCTAAAATTGCTTTATTTACAGTATTCCACCAGTTTTTCTATATATGCTATGTAAAAATTAGATATATATATGTATAGCAAAACAATTGTATGCTATGAAAAAAGAATCTGCATTTGATTAAGTTAATTAAAATCAGGCACTCTTATGCCTGGCATTTTGGCAGTCCATCTACATGGATATGCCCTCCAGCCAGTGATGAAAATTGAGCAAAATTAAAGCTAGGTAGTTCTCATCTGCAATTACAGGAACAGCAAAGGCAGATTCCAAATCTGCTTTCACAGACCAGGGAATCTTTTTTTTCAACAGCTGCAGGAACTGTTTGCAGGAGCCTAAACTGAGTGAAATAGTGCTTGGGTTAGAATAGTTTTAAATTAGTCAATCAGGTTGGGAACTTCAGAGAACTCTTTAAACTTGTGGACTGTAACCCAGGGTGGGAGTCTGCAGATGTTGCCCATGTGCCAAGACATCTCTTTGGCTGACAGCGCCAATCTCCTCAGAAGGGTGATAAAATATTTAATAAGACTTTTCCCATCATCTTCCTTTCATGGTTTCCAGGGAGCAGCTTTGTCCACAGCGCCTGGGAGGGCTGGTCCTGGCAGTAATGTCACCAGGAGTTCACCGCTCCCCTGACCCATCACATCTTTTAGGGACATGGTTTAGCGGTGACCTGGAAGTGCTGGGCTAACACTTAAAGACTTGATAATCCTAAAGGTCTTTTCCAACCAGAATAATTTTAGGATTGTATTAGTCTATCTTTGTTTTAGTGGATAAATCTTAATTCTGACCCCACAGCACCTCTGGCTTTAACCCCTTCCAGGACGGGCGCTTTTGGACTGCACGTGTAGTGCGGCAGAACAGACGCAGCCGAGGCCTGAGGGACAGGAGGTCCGCGACCACTCGTACCCCCCACC